TGGCCAGGCTGGTCTCGAACTCCCGACTTCAAGTAATCCTCCTGCCTTCAAGTAATCCTCCCACCTTGGCCTCCCAAAGTGCTGGGATTCCAGGCGTGAGCCACTGCACCCTGCCAAAAAAAAAAAAAAAAGATTCTTTTTTTTTTTTTTTTTGAAGGTCAGCTTTCCTCCCTGGGCAAAATATTTTGAGGCAGTGGGTTTCCTTGCAAGCAGCCAGGTCTGGCCAAGGGCAGGAAGCTTGGGTGTTAAGACAGTCCTGGCTTCACTGCTTTGCTCTGCTGGTTAGAAGCTGGGTGCCCTTGGGAAAATCGCCAAACCTCTCTGGGGTTTGGCTTCTTGCTTTTTAATATCAGCAAATTATCCTTACTCCATGGGGGAATCTGTGTGAATCAGTGAAGAGAGCATCTATAAAACCACCAAGGAAGACTTTCACCCTGGAGGAGACCCAGACAGGTGAGCCTCTGCCTGCCCCAGCTTCCAGCCCTTTCTCTTCACACCCGCTGAACACCATGCCTGTGACATCAGTATGCTGCTCACTGGGAGTGGCTGCTGAGATTGTCACTGGCTCTTTCTGAATCCTACAGATGCTGTCCCCAGAGCCTGCATTTCAGCATCTGGTTACACTGTACATGGTGGCAAATTTGACAAGTGCCCATCTCGTGACCCTTTGAGCTCCACCTGCCCTTTCCCGTCCCCTGAGGTGCATGAAGCCGTGGGCACACTTAGCAGCCCAAGCTGCCCCCACCTCCCACTTCCTGAGCCCAGCAGCAGCGGCTCAGGCATCGGTGGAGGAAAAGGCTCTGTAGCTTTTGCAAACTGTCACGGAAAAGAGAATTCAGGGTGTGCTGGCTCATGCCTGTAATCTCAGCACTTTGTTTGGCTGAGACGGGTGGATCACCCAAGGCCAGGAGTTTGAGACCAGCCTGGCCCACATGGTGAAATCTCATCTCTACAAAAAATACAAAAATTAGCTAGGCGTCGTGGCGCACGTCCGTAATTTCAGCTGCTCATGAGGCTGAGGCAGGAGAATCACTTGAACGCAGGAGGCAGAGATTGCAGTGAGTCGAGATTGCACCACTGCACTCCAGCCTGGGCGACAGAGCAAGATTCCATCAAAAAAAGGAAAGGAAAGGAGAGGGGAGGGGGAGGGGAGAGGAGGGAAGGGGAGTTAGTTTGGGAAACTGAAAACCAGGGACTGAAAAGTGTTCTGCAAGCCTTCAGTGCTGTCATCCCACCGTGCACCGTGCACAGTCCCGGCCACTACCAAGGTGGCTTTAGATCTCCAGTCTGGGCCCACTTGCAACTTCCATCTCTGCTTCCCACTCCCCACCCTCAAGGGCTATCCTAGGATTCTCCCCAGCGGAGCCTGGTGCTGATGGAACAGAGAAGGCTCAGTGCAGCTCACACCACACCTCCAGCTTCCAATCCAGTGGGAAAGGCAGCTCTGGTCTGTGACACTGACTCAAACCCTTCCCTGACCGGGAGGCCAGGCCAAGCTCTATCTGGGCCTTACAGGGAAGTCCTCCCAGCTGGGCACGCGGCCAGGGAGTGGGAGGTGTGTTTCCCGGAGCCACTAATTCAGCTGCCCTCCCAAATGTGAGTCAGCTGAGCAGGACCCTGCCCCACTCCTGCCCGCCATCACTCATCCTGCCCTGGGAGTGCCCGCTGAGCGCAGGCGCAGATGCCAGCAAGCCCAGAATGTCACACATGCCAGCCTGCTGCCTACGGCTCTGCTGACTCCCTGAGGCATGATAACGGCTCTGCTGGGTCACCAGGAACATCACGGCCCCAGGGATGGAAAGGAAGAGAGTGCTGCTGTCTGAATTTCCAGTGCCCCAGTGAATTTCCAGTGGGCACCCCCACTTTTTTTTTTTGAGACAGAGCTTCGCTCTTGTAGCCCAGGCTGGAGTGCAGTGGCGCAACCTCGGCTCTGCCTCCCGGGTTCAAGCAACTCTCCTGCCTCAGCCTCCCGAGTAGCTGGAATTACAGGTGCCCACCACCACACCAGGTTAATTTTCTATTTTTAGTAGAGAAAGGGTTTCACGATGTTGGCCAGGCTGGTCTCGAACTCCTGACCTCAGGTGATCAACCTGCCTCAGCCTCCCAAAGTGCTGGGATTACAGGCATGAGCCACCATGCCTGGTCTCAGCTAATTTTTGCACGTTTAGTAGAGATGGGATTTCCTCATGTTGACAGGCTAGTCTCGAACTCCTGACCTCAGGTGATCCACCCATCTCAGCCTTACAGGCGTGAGCCACCACGCTCGGCACCCCTCTCTATGTCCCACACCCCATGCACAGCCTAGAATGCCGCCAGGACGGAGACTTGCCCACGGGAGAGAATGGCCTAGGAAAACTTCTTTTCCCCTCCTGCACTACCTTACGAAGCATCCAGAGGACATCCAGGGTCTGGGCTTGGATGAAATGGAATCCTGGGAAAATCTCTTCGAGAATGATGCTGGGAAAGAGAAAAGGCTCATGGGAAGCATGTCCTGAATTGGAGTGAGGGGGCGAAATGTGGTCAAAGCCCTTCAGAACGCCCTTCATATTCTCACCAGACTAGCTACAGTTGGAAATTCCACCATTAGTGATTCATTCCTTTGGCCAACACCCCTGAAAACATGTCATCTTCAGGATCGGGGTTGCTTTCTATTGGAAAGCCAACAGAACTAATGAGGAGAGCAGGCTGGTGTTGCTTGTTTGTTATCCTGCTGCATCTTCATCAGCCGGCAAAGTGCTGCCTTACTGTACCCATTTAGCAGTTGAGAACACTGAGGCTTAGAGAGGCTAGGAAACTGTCTAAAGCTCTCACAATGCTGGAGTTATGCTGGATTCGATTCCAAGTCCAGCAAGACACAGTCCCTCCCTCCAGGAGCTCCCAGGTCTGGGACCGACACAAGTACCTGTGTGATAAAGGATGGGGCTCCAAGCCGGGATGCAGGAGGGCAGGGAGCCTGGCAGGAAGCAGAGGAGATGCCCCTACGTCAGAGGAAGGCCAGAAGTTCCCCAGTGCTGATGCCTGAGCTGGGCTTTGAAGGATGAGTAGGAGTAAGTTGGGTGGACAAGAGAAACAACAGAGTTCCCACCAGCAGGACCAGCACCTCCAAAGATCCAAGGGCGTGAAGGGGCAGGCTGTCCTGGGGAAAAACGCAAGCCCAGATGCCCAGAAGGAGGGGGCGCAGGAAGCGCGGGTGCCAGGCTAAGGGGTCAGCAGTGGCTCTGGAGTCACTAAAGAAGTCCCAAGTCATCCAGATAGGGAAATAAGTCAAAGTATCTTAGAAGAAGAAAGAGGAGAAGCGGAAGAAAGAGGGAAGAAGATGAAGAAGAAGAAAAGAAGAAGTGGAGGAGGAAGAGGAGGAGAAGGAGGAAGAGGAAAGAAGGAAGGAAGGGGAGGGGGAAGGAAGGAAGAGAGGGAGGGAGGGAGAGAGGGAGGGAGGGAGGGAGAGAGGGAGGGAGGGAGAGAGGGAGGGAGGGAGGGAGAGAGGGAGGGAGGGAGAGAGGGAGGGAGGGAGGGAGGGAGGTAGAGAGGGAGAGAGGGAGGGAGGGAGAGAGGGAGGGAGGGAGAGAGGGAGGGAGGGAGAGAGGGAGGGAGGGAGGGAGGTAGAGAGGGAGAGAGGGAGGGAGGGAGAGAGGGAGGGAGAGAGGGAGGGAGGGAGGGAGGGAGGGAGAGAGGGAGGGAGGGAGGGAGGGAGAGAGGGAGGGAGAGAGGGAGAGAGGGAGGGAGGGAGGGAGGGAGAGAGGAAGGGAGGGAGGGAAGGAGGAGGGAGAGAGGAAGGGAGGGAGGGAGGGAGGGAGGGAGGGAGGGGAGGGAGGGAGGGAGAGAGGGAGAGAGGAGGGAGGGAGGGAGAGAGGGAGGGAGAGAGGGAGAGAGGAGGAGGGAGGGAGGGGAGAGAGGGGAGGGAGGGAGGGAAGGAGGGAGGGAGAGGAAGGGAGGGAGGGAGGGAGAGAGGGAGGGAGGGAGAGAGGGAGGGAGGGAGGGAGAGAGGGAGGGAGGGAGGAAGAGAGAGAGGGAGAGAGGGAGGGAGAGAGGGAGGAGGGAGGGAGGGAGGGAGGGAGAGAGGGAGGGAAGGAGGAGGGAGAGAGGGAGGGAGGGAGAGAGGGAGGGAGGGAGGGAGGGAGGGAGAGAGGGAGGGAGGAGTCCCAAGTCACCGGACCCAGGAAGGTGCTTTGGCCTCCATCAGCATCTTGATGACAGGATTTTTATCTTGGCCTGGCATGTGCCATGCTTTGGGAGGTCTCCTAAACAGCACCCCAGAACCCACAGAACCCCCTCTCCCAGCCCCAGGCCCAGGCAGAGGTCAAGTTTTCAGTGTCTCTGTTCCCATTTGGGGGCGAGTCTCTCCCCAGCCAGCCCTCCCCTGCAAAACTTTCCCGGTTGACCTCCAGCCCTGACCCCAGCTGGTGGGAAATATTTGGTGAGCTCCACAGGGCAGGCTTACCGAAGACAGCTTCCAGGCATTAGGAGTGACTGCGTAGGCACACGTGTGGACACACATGCACCATATACACATACACAAATGGGCAGGAAGACAAAAGCTATTCACACAGCATCTCCCAGCTCAGAAGCCATCTGGTCTGTGGAATGTGTCGAGATGATTTAACACTGGCTTGGATACACAGGATTCCAGGTGCAGGAGCCCTAGACCCCCTGGAATGTGCTAGAGATAGGCATAAGGCATCCTGTCTGTGCCCACCCCACTCTGGTTGGGAGTCACAGAATGAGGACCTCCTGACTTGACACAGATTTGTTGTTGTTTGCTTTTGAGACGGAGTCTCACTGCTCTGTCACCCAGGCTGGAGCGCAGGGGCACAATCTTGGCTCACTGCAACCTCCGCCTCCTGGGTTCAAGTGATTCTCCTGCCTCAGCCTCCTGACTAGCTGGGATTACAGGGGCATGCCACCATGCCCAACTAATTTTTGTATTTTTAGTAGACACGGGGTTTCACCATGTTGGCCAGGCTGGTCTCGAACTCCTGACCTCGTGATCCACCCGCCTCGGCCTCCCAAAGTGCTGGAATTACAGATGTGAGTCACCTTGCCCGGCGGAGACAAATTCTTTATCCAGAGAATCTGAGATTCCAATTCAGGTCTCGGAGCTGGGCCTGCTACTCACCTCCCCAGTAAACATCCAGCCAGCATTGGACAGAGAGGCTGGCCCCACCCTGACAGGGACTAAATAACAGACCCTTGGAAGCCTTGTTGTTGGGCTACTGGGCACTTTGGAGGTTGAGGGGACCCGGAACAGTCTCCCCAGATCCGTGTGCCTTCCCTCTGGAGTGCACTTGAGTCACCTCTAACAGCCACTGCTTGGCACCAAGAGAGAATCCAAATGTTGGCATCACCAACCTTAAGTATGGAGCAGGGAGCAAGTGCCCCATATTTGCCCATATTATGAATGACTGGCTCTTGGAAGGTCTCTGGATTTGGGGAGATGGGAAGAAATGGCCAAGTAACAGCATCCTCATCCCCAACTATACTGAGAACCCACTACAGTGGAACAGAACGTCAGGGGCTGCATGGGTGTGTGCCTCAGTTTCCCTCTACTGCCCCCAAACTGCCTACTCCAGGAGCTTCCCAAAAGGGAGGAGGAGATGAGGAGATAGGCATGCAACTCTCCACACGGAGATTTTCAGCTACTCTGGCCGCGATCCCATTTACAGCATACCAGACAGGAAGGGCAAAGAGGTTCCATAGTGAGTGCCAAATTGATTGGTACTGGCTGCCCAGAACACTGTGCTGGGAAGAATTCTGACATCACCCATGTGCTGCACTTGATTGGTGATGTCTGCCATGGTCACAGCCATTCCCCATCCCTCATCTACAAGCTGGACTGTCCCCTTTCCCTGAACCGGAGACAATTCCCCAGTCTGGACTTTGGCAGCAGAGAGGGAGGCTCTGGCCACTAGGTATACACAACCCACAGGACTCCTTGCCAGATTCCTCAGGACCTTAAGAAACAGATTGGCTCGCCATTCCCCAATTTTCCAGGCCATGCCTGCTTCCTTTCCTAAAGATGTTAATGTTGCTTGTATTAGGAAACACTCATCTAAAATAGAAACACATTACACGGTTAATTTCTTCTCTGTAAGAATGGCTAAATGCTTTCTTTCTCGCTGGGGACTCAAGGGACGATCTGGCTGTCACCAAAAGTCACCTGAGACCCATCAAGAACTCTACCCAATGAAGGGAAGACAGGCCTTGGTGCTGTGCTCTGGGTTAACATTTGCAGAAACGCTTCCTGTGGTACTCCGTTCCTAAAGCCCAAACGACCTCTGGAGTCTGGGTCACCTCATTTGGACACCTTGGTCTGCAGGGTGCTGGGCAGATAGAGGTACCTCCAGATGGCATAGTAGTGGGTACCAGCACCAAATGCCACAAAGAGATGCCAGATGGCGTGGGCAAAAGGGATCCTCCCGTCACTCTTGAAGAAGACCATGCCCAGGCAGTAGAAGACCCCTCCGGTCATCAGTTCCCAGATTCCCTCGGTGTTGGGCTGTCGGCAAGGACAAGGGTGGGGCACAGGTCAAAAGAGCAGCCAGTGTGGCTGGAAGCATCAGCTGGTCCCCATTCCCCAAAACCAAAAGACGCACAGATGGCAAACCAGCCCAGACACCTAGGTGGGAAGCCTTAACACTGATACACCAGCAATTCTCCTCAGACTAGTTCTCGGAGGACAGACATTTTCATTTCTACTAAAATCTCACCAGTTGTTTTTTTCTTGAGACAGGGTCTCGGTCTGTCGCCCCAGATGAAGTACAGTGGCACAGATATAGCTCACTGCAGCCTCCAACTCCTGAAGTGATCCTCCTGCCTTAGCCTCCCCAGTAGCTGGGACTGCAGACATCCCATGACGCCACCATGCCTGGCTAATTTTATTTTATTTTTGGAGATGGCGGGGGGCGGGCAGGGGGCTCACTATGTTGCCCAGGCTGGTCTCAAACTCCGAGCCTTAAGTGATTCTCCCACCTCGGCTTCTCAAAGTGCTGGCATTACAGGTGCAAGCCACCACACTCAGCCTCAAATAACATTTTTTATAACTTATCTTTTCTTTTCTTTCTTTCTTTTTTTTTTTTTTTTTTTTTTGAGACAGAGTTGCTCTGTCACCCAAGCTGGAGTGCAGTGGTGAGATCTCAGCTCACTGCAACCTCCACCTCCCAGGTTCAAGCAATTCTCCTGCCTCAGCCTCCCAAGTAGCTGGGACTCACCACGCCCAGCTAATTTTTGTATTTTTAGTAGAGCTGGTTTTGCCATGTTGGCCAGGTTGGTTTCAAACTCCTAATTTCAGGCGATCCACCCACCTTGGCCTTTCAAAGTGCTAGATTACAGGCGTGAGCCACTGCCCCTACCCTATAGCTTATCTTTGGTAAACTTATAACACATCTGGGTATATACCCAAAGAATTGAAAGCGGGGTCTTGACAGATGTTTGCAAACCCGTGTTCAGAGCAGCGTAAACACAACAGTAAAAGGTGGAAGGAAGCCAGGTGACCACCAAGGAATGAATGAACAAAATGAGCTCAATCCATACAATGGAATAGTATTCAGCCCGAAAAAGGAAAGAAATGCTAATGCATGCTACAACATAGGTGAACCTTGGCAACACTGGGCTGAATGAAATCAGTCACAAAAGGACAAATACTGTATGATTCCACTTATATGAGGTTCCTGGAGTTGTCAGATTCATAGAGGAAGAAAGCAGAACGGTGGTTGCCAGGAGCTGAGACAAGGGGGAAGAAAAGCTATTGTTACAGTGGCTCACACCTATAATCCCAGCACTTTGGGAGACTGAGGCAGGCGGATCACCTGAGGTCAGCAGTTCAAGACCAGCCTAGCCGACACGGTGAAACCTCGTCTCTACTAAAAATACAAAAATCAGCTGGGCACGGTGGCGTGCTCCTGTAATCCCAGCTACTTGGGAGGCTGAGGCAGGAGAATTGCTTGAACCGGGACCCAGGAGGTGGAGGTTGCAGTGAGCCGAGATCACGTCACTGCACTCCAGCCTGGGTGACAGAGTAAGACTCCATCTTTAAAAAAAAAAAAAATGAGGACAGAGTTATAGTTTGCAGAGATGCAAAAAGTTCTGGAGATGGATGGTGGTGATGGTTTCACGACAGTGAATGTGCCACTGAACTGAAGATTTTACCTCAAATGTTTAAAGTAACAGCATGGCAAAAAAATAAAGTAGAGAAAACCAAAATTATTTTCTTCAAGGCAAAAAATATTTAGAGAAAAAAACATGGTAAGAAAAAGTAGTAGTTCTAGTCCCCAGATGTGAGTACTATTAATATGAGTCGTTCTTAGTAAAAGAAACTCCCCGCCGGGGGCGGTGGCTCACTCCTGTAATCCCAGCGCTTGGGGAGGCCAAGGTGGGCTTGAGCCCAGGAGATCAAGACCAGCCTGGGCAACATGGTGAGATCCCATCTCTAAAAAAAAGAGAGAGAGAGAGAGAGAGAGAGAAACAGTTGTAGAATAGGAGGGAATTGAGCAAGAAGAACCTGCCATGCCCTCACAGGGCCAAGAGTTCGAGACTATCCTTGGCAACACAGGGAGACCCTGCCTCCACAAAAAAAAAAAAAATTTTTTTTTGAGGCAGAGTTTCGCTTTTGTTGCCCCTGCTGGAATGCAGTGACACAATCTCAGCTCATGGCAACCTCTGCCTCCTGGGTTCAAGCGATTCTCCTGCCTCAGCCTCCAGAGTCGCTGAGACTACAGGTGTGCACTACATCTGGCTATTTTTTTTTTTTTTTGGCAGAGAAGGGTCTTGCTATGTTGCCCAGGCTGCTCTCAAACTCCTAGACTCAAACTATCCTCCCGCCTCAGCCTCCCAAAGGACTGGATTACAGGCATGAGCCACTGCAGTAGCCTCTTTAGACAAGTCATGCCAGGCCTGTTTCCCCATCTGCCAAAGGAGAGAGTTTGTGACAATCTCAACAGTTACATCCATCTCGGACACTCTTGGTCCCTTGCAAGGACCCATCCACGCAGGGCAGCCAACACTTACCATGGAGAGGATGACCAGGGCTGGGAAGAAGCCCATCACAACGTAGCAGAGAAGCTCCACAAGCTTGTACCTGGCAGAAAGACAAGCCGTGCCGGCCTTAGGACATGCCTCCCCATGAGGAAACCACACAGAGTTCCCTGTTCTTGGGGAAGAGGGAACACTCTGGCCAGAACAGTGAGAAGAAAGGATGCTTTCTCTGTCTAGCACGCCTTGGCTCAGATTTCACCCAGCTACATCCAACAGGTGCTGGCAGTTGTGTGACCTTGGGGCACTTTCCCTCCCTGAGACTCAGTTTCCACTTCTGTAAAATGCATGCAGGAGCCAGAGCATGGATGGCAAACATTGAGCACAGCACACACGTGGGGACTCCCGATGCTCAGCCTGTGGCAGACATCACTATTCGATCCCAGCATCTCTTCCCACAGGGCCGGAGCAGCCACTTCCAATTGAGCTGGGCTGCTGCAGCAACTGAAGCCTCTCTGCTGTCCCTGGACTAAATGACTTCCAGAGGCTCTGGGCTCTGAGACTGCAGAAGCCTGTTATTCTCTTTGGCTTCTATTATCCTGTTTCTTTCTCACTGAATTATTTCCATCGCCATCACTCGGCAGTATGGGGATACAGAGAGTGTGACTCTTTCGGGAACTCTCTCCACGATCTGCTAATAGTTTAAGAAGGACAGGTGGCACGTGACACCTCCCTCCCCAGCCCCCACCCATTCAATGGGGCCAGAAACCTATGATTTTTTTTTTTTTTTTTTTTTTTTAAGACAAGAGTCTCACTCTATGGTCCAGGCTGGAGTGCAGTGGTGAGATCTTGGCTCACTGCAACCTCCACCTCCCAGGTTCAAACCATTCTCCTGCCTCAGCCTCTTGAGTAACTGGGACCCACCACCTACCACCATGCCTGGCTCATTTTTGTATTTTTAATAGAGACAGGTTTTCACCATGTTGGCCAGGCTGGTCTCAAACTCCTGAATTCAAGTGATCTGCCCTCCTTGGCCTCCCAAACTGCTGGGATTACAGGTGTGGGCCACCATGCCTGGCCATCTATGATGTCTTTTTGACAACTTCAGGTTGACCCTAGGGGCTGCAAGACTTGGTGGCCATCCCTGAGCCTGAATGGCATGCCAGCCAGAGCTAGGCTCTCATGATTATGGTATCATCCTGGGCTCTCAGGTGCCCAGGAGCACTGGGGAGGCCCAAGCATCTCTTACAAAAAAAAAAGAATCCCGCCTCCTTGAAGCCCACCTCCCTGAAGCCCCCAGGCCTAGCTTACCGCTCGTGGAAGAAAAAGACATAGATGGTGCCCACAGAAGCCATAATCCAGACCAGCCAGCGCATGTGGGAGGCCCAGGGGCCCAGCTCCCGGAGGTTCAGCCTGGGAGAGAGAGCCAACGCCATGGCCTGAGGCGGGGCCCACCAAGATCCCAGGGAAGCCCTGCCACCTGTGGCTTCACGGCTGGGACGGGGGCACTCACAGGAAGACGGGTGAACAGGCAGAAAGGGCGCTAGACAAACTGAAACAGCAAGCAATGGTTAGAGGAAAATTAGCAAAACTGATATCTAGGAGAAAAGGTAAGGGGCGCCCCACACTGGTGGGGTTATGAACAAGGAAAGCCTGTTTGGAGGGCAACTGTGCATTCTTGGTGACTGCAGTTCCGGCAATGCTGTTTTCTTTTATTATGTCATTTTACTATTTATTTATTTATTTTGAGGAAGAGTCTCACTCTGTCACCCAGGCTGGAGTGCAGTGGCGCAATCTCAGCTCACTGCAACCTCTGCCTCCCAGATTCAAGCAATTCTCCTGCCTCAGCCTCCCGAGTAGCTGGGATTACAGGCGCCCACTACCATGCCTGGCTAATTTTTGTATTTTCAGTCGAAACAGCGTTTCACCATGTTGGCCAGGCTGGTCTCGAACTCCTGACTTCAGGCGATCCGCCTCCCACCACCTCAGGAAGCTGCCTTGGCCTCCCAAAGTGCTGGGATTATAGGTGTGAGCCACTGGGCCTGCCCTGAAATGAATTTCTGAAATGAGAATGTCTTATGTAAACTTCTGCCAAAAAAAAGTGACCTGCTCAGAGTCTGTCACTATAAAGAAGTTAAAGAACACCGAAAAGTTTAAAGGTAAAAAATAATAACCCATCTCATTACCCAAAATAACCATCAGCGAACATCATTCTACACACCCTTCCAAGCAGACCTAAAAATAGACCACTGGGTAGAAGGATAGGATGGGATGAAGGGAAAGGAGAGGGGTGAGAATGAACTTATCATTTTTAGTGAAAAGTATTACATTTAATTTAAACTTGACTTTAAAAGAAGAAAATGGGCCGGGCGCGGTGGCTCAAGCCTGTAATCCCAGCACTTTGGGAGGCCAAGGCGGGTGGATCACAAGGTCGAGAGATTGAGACCAACCTGGTCAACATGGTGAAACCCCGTCTCTACTAAAAATACAAAAAATTAGCTGGGCATGGTGGCGCGTGCCTATAATCCCAGCTACTCAGGAGGCTGAGGCAGAAGAATTGCCTGAACCCAGGAGGCGGAGGTTGCGGTGAGCCAAGATCGCGCCATTGCACTCCAGCCTGGGTAACAAGAGCGAAACTCTGTCTCAAAAAAAAAAAAAAAAAAAAAAAAAAAAAAAGAAGAAAATGGACGCCTAAAAATTTTCCTGAACGTCAAACAAATGTTTCTTCACTGTAAAATTCACTTTGACTCTGAAGATAAATTATGTAAAGCACAAGAAAATTGGGTTTTCGGCTGGGCACAGTGGCTCATGTCAGTAATTCCAGCACTTTGGGAGGGCAAAGCAGGTCGATCACCTAAGGTCAGGAGTTCCAGACCAGCCTGGCCAACACGGCAAGACCCCATCTCCGCTAAAAACACAAAAATTAGCTGGGTGTGGTGGCATGCACCTGTAATCCCAGCTACTTGGGAGGCTGATGCAGGAGAATTGGTTGAACCTGGGAGCCAGAGGCTGCAGTGAGCCAGATTTGCTCCATTGCACTCCAGCCTGGGCGACAAGAACAAAACACTCAGGTGAAAGAAAAGTAAGTTGAATTTTTAAAATTACATATTTCTGGTTTTTTATTAGTTCGTTTTTTTAGAGACAGGTTCTCACTTTATCCCCCAGGCCGGAGTGCAGTGGCACAATCATAGCTCACTGCAGCCTCGACTTCCTGGGCTCAAGCAGTCCGCCTGCCTCAGTCTCCTGAGTAGCTGGAACTACCGGCACGTGCCATCACAACTAGTTTCTTTAAAAAACTCCTCATGGGTACTGTATTCTTGGCTTTCTTTTTTTTTTAGATGGTGTCTTGCTCTTGTTGCCTGCACTGGAGTGCAATGGCTTGATCTTGGCTCACTGAAATCTCTGCCTCCCAGATTCAAGCAATTCTCCTGTCTTAGCCACCAGAGTAGCTGGGATTACAGGTGCCTACCACCATGCCTGGCTAACTTCTGGTATTTTTAGTAGAGACGGGGTTTCGCCATGTTGGCCAGGCCCATCTTGAACTCCTGACCTCAGGTGATCTGCCCGCCTCGGCTTCCCAAAGTGCTGGAATTACAGGCATGAGCCACCACGCCCAGCCTCTTGGACTTCTTTCATGTGTGACATGGATGTTTCCTCTGAAGTCTATCTTTGGGAAATTATTAGAAGCGTCTCCACTGTGTGTCAGCATTAAATGGTGCTATGGCCACATTCAGAAGCCAGCTTGGTTTTTTTCACTTTGCAAATAATTTATTTTTTCAGTCTTGAAGCCTGAAGAATTGGTCTCTTTCATTTTTATCAGCTTCTCTCTGATTGCTTTAATATTGGCTTTCTGAAAATGGCTGTATTCTCCCTGATTATATAAAACCTTCAGTATTTGGTTTTCAATAGTGTTTTTTTTTTTCTTTTTTTTTTTTTTTTTCTCCCCACAAGGAGAGGAAGCTGGGGCTTTTGTTTGTCGCAATGCCCTCAGATACCAGCACAGGGCCTGGCACAGGGCAGTGCCCAATCAATCACAGCCAGGGCTGAAGAAGAGAAATTCAGGCCAGGCGTGGTGGTTCACGCCTGTAATCCTAGAACTGTGGGAGGCTGAGGCAGGCGGATCACCTGAGGTCAGGAGTTTGAGACCAGCCTGGCCAACTTGGCGAAACCCTGTCTCTACTAAAAATACAAAAATTAGCCAGGTGTGGTGGTGCACGCCTATAATCCCAGCTACTCAGGAGGCTGAGGCAGGAGAATAGCTTGAACCTGGGAGGCAGAGGTAGCAGTGAGCCAAGATTGAGCCACTGCACTCCAGCCTCAGGGAGAGAACAAGACTCCATCTCAAAAACGAAAACAAAACAAAAAATAAAAATAAAATAAACACATATTTATAAAATGTGACCATCACAGGCCGGGCACGGTGGCTCAAGCCTGTAATCCCAGCACTTTGGGAGGCCGAGGCAGGTGGATCACGAGGTCAAGAGATCGAGACCATCCTGGTCAACATGGTGAAACCCCGTCTCTACTAACAACACAAAAAATTAGCTGGGCATGGTGGCGCGTGCCTGTAATCCCAGCTACTCAGGAGGCTGAGGCAGGAGAATTGCCTGAACCCAGGAGGCGGAGGTTGCGGTGAGCCGAGATCGTGCCATTGCACTCCAGCCTGGGTAACAAGAGCGAAACTCCGTCTCAAAAAAAAAAAAAAAAAAAAAAAAATGTGACCATCACAATGGCTCATGCCTGTACTCCAACACTTTGGGAGGCTGAAGCAGAGGCAGGAGGATGGCTTGAGGCCAGCAGTTCAAGACCAGCCTGGGCTACATAGTGAGACCCTGCAAAAATAAAAATAGTGGCCAAGCATGGTGGCTTGCACCTGCAGTCCCAGCTACTTGGGAGGCTGAAGTGGGAGAATGACTTGAGCCCAGGAGTTGGAGGCTGCAGTGAGCTATGATCACAACACGGCACTCCAGCACAGGCAACGAGTGAGACCCTGTCTCTAAAAAACAATGAAAAACTTAAAAGCCATATTAAATAAAATATATATTAATAAATATAAGTATATATGTATGCATATTCATGTGTACATATTTATATGTATATATAGACACATGTATATACATATCCATATGCATATGTCTATTGCAAATATGCATATGTGTATATATAGAGACAAATATTACATGTAAATATTTGCTTTTCTGGATGGGCACAGTGGCTCACACCTGCAATCCAAACACTTTGGGAGGCCAAGGCAGGTAGATCATTTGAGGTCAGCAGTTTGAGACCAGCCTGGCCAACATGGCAAAACCCCATCTCTACTAAAAATACAAAAATTAGCCAGGCATAGTGATGGACGCCTGTAATCCCAGCTACTCAGGAGGCTGAGGCAGGAGAATCACTTGAACCCGGGAGGCGGAGGTTGCAGTCAGCTGAGATTGTGCCACTGCACTCCAGCCTGGGTGACAGAGTGAGATTCTGTCTCAGAATTCTAAAAAAAAAAAAAGTATATTTTTCTTTTCTCTGCATAAAATAACTCAAGAAAGACACACAAGAAAGTGGGTAAAGAAAGTGAGTATAAGTAGCTGCTTCCAGGAAGGAGAAAAGGGTGTCAGGAAGCTTTTCCTCTAACTCCTCTGTGTCAAGTCAACATATTACCCAGCCAAATAGAAAAATAAACTCAAACAATGAAAAGGACGGACTCAGTGTTTGCTGGGCGGCGGGACGGTACTCACCAGGGTGCGTAGGAGGCCGCTATGAAGAAATAGATGACCATCCGGTCGAACATGTGCAGACAGTGCTCCACCATCCTAGGGCAGCAGAGAAGCCGGCGGTCACGGCCCTTGTGCAGCAGGGAAGGGCCAGCACCCCTAGAGCCGTGCCCTGGGCTGATCACGCTTGCCTACAGGTTAGCAGGGCTGGGCTCCTCTATCCAGCCAGGACCCCTTGGGCCTCAGAATCCCCATCTGTAAGTGACCAGGGCAGCGGTCTCCCAAGCCAGGCTCCTTATCACCCTAGAGGCTGCATGAAGACACCTTGCCTCGAGAGTCCCACTGAAGGCCTTGCACCCCTGAAGGTAAGGATCGTATACCCTCCTGCCCACTTTTTTTTTTTGAGACTAGGTCTCACTCTGTATCCCAGGCTGGAGTGCAGTGGCACGATCTCGACTCACTGCAACATCCACCTCCTGGGTTCAAGCAATTCTCCTGCCTCAGCCTTATAAGTAGCTGGTACTACAGGTGCCCACCACCACACCTGGGTAATTTTTGTATTTTTGGTATTTACTATGTTGGCCAGGCTGGTCTTGAACTCCTGACCTCGTGATCCACCCATCTTGGCCTCCCAAAGTGCAGGGATTACAGGCGTGAGCCACCACGCCCCGCCATCCTCCCCTACTTTAATCTGAGCCATTGTGATTTCTGCTTTATATATGGGGTTTTTCCAGAGATTTCAAATGGAGAAATAATTCTGTGGAGAAAGTGTAAAAACAGCAAGATGCAATGGCTCCCACCTGTAATTCCAGTGCTTTGGGAGGCTGAGGCAGGAGATTGCTTGAGCTCAGGGGTTGGAGACCAGCCTGGGCAACACAGTGAGACCTCATCTCTACTAAAAGTTAAAAAGATCAGCCAGGATAATGGTGTGCACCTGTAGGCCCAGCTACTCAGGAGGCTGAGGCAGGAGGATCTCTTGAGCCTTCGAGGTTGAGGCTGCAGTAAGGCTTGTTTGTGCCACTGCACTGCAGTCTAGGAAACAGAGCTAGACCCTGTCTCAAAAAAAAAAGATCAAAAACTACTAAATTATATCTTCCTCAAAAGTGTCTAGGAGCTGACATTCTGTGTTAGAAGGACTTAGTAGCTGGAATCCAGGCTCTGGAGCCAGAAGGCCTGGGTTTGAATTCCAGCTCTACGCTTCAGGAGTGTACAACCTTGAACAAGTTACCTATTCGCTCTAGGTGTCAGCTTCCTCCTCTGTAAATACAGAGGATGCCAGCAAGCCAACATAGGGCTGTGGGGAGGATTAAATTAGCTAATAGCACAGTACACAGTAAGTGCTCAATAAACACCAGCCATTTTTATGATGACCTCACTTTGTATAATGAGCAGTAACCCTCAATACATGGGACTGGTGTGGTGCCAGCCTCCGCAATGGTGCACAATAAGCCACACTCCTGATATTCACACTCTGGGACCCTCCTCTCCCAAAAAAAAAAGTAGGATTAACTCAGGGAACCAGTAGGACATTGCAGAAATGATGGTGTGTAGTTTCTGAAGCCAGAGTATAAAAGACATTAGAGCTTCCACCTTGTTTAATTAAGTCGCTAAGTTTGATGCAAACAAGCTCCCACGTGGCTGTGAAGACAGCCACACCACAACCCAGCACTAACTAGCTCACCAGCCATGTGAGTGGGCTTAGACCCGCCAGTGCCGGTCAAGCCATTAGATGACAGCTGACAGCAGCCCCAGACAACCTCTGACTACAGGAGACACCATGAACTGGAGCTACACAGCTAAAGCTCTCAAATTCCTAACGCTCCGAGGCTTTGAGAGAGAATAAGTGTTCCTCGTTATTTAAGCCATGATGCTCTGGGATACTTTGTTACACAGCAATCACTGACCAACACAACCGTGGTTCTGTCTAGCAAAGTGCAGCCCTGAACAAATTTGACCAATGATTGTATGCATGGCTCAACTGCATATCTTCATAGAAATGAAAGGGGGCAGCATATAGCTTTATGGGGGGCCTGGATTCCCGGAGTCAGCGTGCGTTGGATTTGGCTGCTATGCACCTTCAGCAATAAGGTTTCTTTTCTTTCTCTCCTTCCTTCCTTCCCTCCCTCCCTCCCTCCCTTCTTCCTTCCTTCCTTCCTTCTTGACAGAGTCTCGCTCTGTTGCCCAGGCTGGAGTGCACTGGCACCATCTTGGCTCACTGCAACCTCTGCCTACCAGGTTCAAGCAATTCTCGTGCCTCATCCTCCCAAGTAGCTGGGATTACAGGTGTGCACCACTGTGCCTGGCTAATTTTTTTATTTTTAGTAGAGACAAGATTTCACCATGTTGACCAGGCTGGTTTCAAATTCCTGACCTCTAGTGATTCTCCCACCTCGGCCGCCCAAAATGTTGGGATTACAGGCATGAGCCACCTCTCCCAGCTTCACTGTATTTTTTTTTTTTTCATATATATATCAAAACTAGATGGGTGCAGTGGCTCATACTTGTAGTCCCAGCACTTTGGGAGGCCAAGGAGGTAGATTGCTTGAGCCCAGGAGTTCGAGACCAGCCTGGGCAACATGATAAAACCCCATCTCTACAAGAAATAAATAAAATTAGCTAGATGCGGTGGTGCATGCCTGTAGTCCCAGCTACTCCGGAGGCTGACATAGAAGGATCACTTGAGCCCTGGAGGTGGAAGCTGCAGTGAACCAAAATGATGCTACCACACTCCAGCCTGGGAGGCAGAGTGAGACCTCATCTCAAAAAAAAAAAAAAAAAAAAAAAATCAAAACCGTAAAACTCAGGGATTCTAATCCCTACATTGCAGAGTTATTGAAAAGATTAGAAAATGGCGCCTGTAGCATGCCTGGAACGAGGCCTGGAGGAGAGCCGGCCTCAGCCAGCAAGCCTTTTCTCTTGGTCCTCTCAGAAGCAGGCAAACCAAGCCAGGCAGAAAGGCTCATCCCTGTAACCCCAGCACTTTGGGAGGCTGAGGCGGGTGGATTGCTTGAGTCCATGAGCTGGAGACCAGCCTGGGCAACATGGTGAAACCCCATAATCCATCTCTCAACAAATACAGAAATTAGCCAGGCGTGATGGCACACACCTGTGGTCTCAGCTCCTCAGGAGGCTGAGGCAGAAGGATCGTTTGAGCCCTGGAGGTGGAGGCTACAGTAAGTCAAGACTGTACCACCACTGCACTACAGCCTGGGCAACAGATTGAAATTCTGTCACAAAAAAAAAAAAAAAAAAGTTGGCGGAGTGTGGTGGCTCATGCCTGTAATCCCAGCACTTTGGGAGGCCAAGGTGGACAGGCCACCTAAGGTCAGGAGTTCGAGACCAGCCTAGCCAACATGGTGAAACCCTGTCTCTACCAAAAACAAACATAAAAATTAGCCAGGCATGGTGGCGGGTGCCTGTAATCCCAGCTACTTGGGAGGCTGAGGCAGGAGAATTGCTTGAACCCAGGAGGCAGAGGTTGCAGTGAACTGAGATCAGGCCACCGCACTCCAGCCTGGGCCACAGAGTGAGACTCCATCTCAAAGAAAAAAAAAAGAAGTGAGCAAACCAGGCTCCTGTAGGCGAGGTGGTCTGCCCAAAAGAGACCCAACTGCAGCCTAAATAAGGCAAGGCTTGTGCCTTCTGCAAAGCCATCCCGTGGGTCGCCCACCCCAGCCCTTCCCAGCTCAGCGGGGAATGTCCCCAGGCAGACTGGGTGTCCTGGTTCACCCCCGGGGCCGTCGCGGGCCCCCCCCGCCCCAGGTCCCCACCCAGCCTGGGTCCTCTGTGCGGGAGGCACCTGAGGTGGCTCTTCTTCCAGGAGATGGTGTGGAACACGGTGGACACCACGAAGAGCCCGCAGAGGCCGAAGCCGTAGATCCAGGCGGAGATGGTCTCCCAGTCGTCGTCCGACAAGAAGTAGAGGTTGGAGCTGCCCAGGATGCTGGGGATGATCCAGAACTGGAGGGGCGGGGACAGTGGGGACAGGTGCAGCAGCTGGCCAGCTCAGAGCACGGCTTCCGCCCCTGCCCCGGCTGAGCTGCCCCACGTCATGCACTTGGCTGATACATGGTCAGTGCCACTTAAGAGCAGAATCATTGTATCTTACTTTAATGGATTAAAGTGTAAATTTCTTTCCTTCCCTCCCCCCTCCTTCCTTCCCTCCCCCCTCCTTCCTTCCTTCCTCCCTCCCTCCCTCCCTTCCTCCTTCTCTCCCTCCCTCCCTCCCTCCCTTCCTCCCTCCCTTCCTCCTTCCCTCCCTCCCTTCCTTCCTTCCTCCTTCCCTCCCTCCCTTCCTTCCTTCCTCCCTCCCTCCCTCCCTCCCTCCCTTCCTCCTTCCCTCCCTCCCTTCCTTCCTTCCTCCCTCCCTTCCTCCCTCCCTCCCTTCCTTCCTCCCTCCCTTCCTCCCTCCCTCCCTCCCTTCCTCCCTCCCTCCCTTCCTCCTTCCCTCCCTCCCTTCCTTCCTCCCTCCCTGCCTTCCTTCTTACTTACCGTTCATTCCCTTTTCCCCTTTCCCCTCTTCTTTCCTTTCCTTTCTTTTCATTCTCTTTTCCTCTTTCTTTCCCTCCCTCCTCCCTCTCTCCTTCCTTCCTCCCTCCCTCCCTCCCTGCCTTCCTGCCTTGTCTCCTCACCCAGGCTGGAGTGCAGAGGTTCAGTCACGGCTCACTGCAGCCTCAATTTTCTGGGCTCAAGTGATCCTCCCACCTTGGCCTCCCAGGTAGCTGGGATTACAGGTTCACACCACCACAACTGGCCAGTTTTAACATTTTTTTATAGAGACGAGGTCTGGCTATATTGCCCAGGCTGGTCTTGAACTCCTGGCTTCAGGCAATCCTCTCACCTTGGCCTTCAAAAGACTGGGATAACAGGCGTGATCCACCATGCCCAGCTTCAGGTGTCAATTTCAACAGCCATGTGGGCCAGTGGCTGCCAACCTGGACAGTGCGGGTCTAGATCTTTGATTCGATTCTCAAAGGGGGTTCATGTATGAAACAGTCAAAGACGACGTCCCAGGGAGTAGCTGCCCCCACCACGCTCCAGCCCTTCCCTGGGCCACCACACAGAGAAGTCTGAGGTGTCACATGTGACACATCATCATCACTGATGTCCTGATCTCGCCTGCTTGGACTGCCCTGAAGGCAGAGGCCAGCCCTGAGCAGCTCAGGCACCCAGGTACAATTCAGCTTGCAAAAGGATTTAAATAGTGGATGGTCCGCCAGGATTCACTGTAGAGAATGGAATCCCCAAATCCGCTGCCTTTATAGGGCCATGGCCTGGCCCTGCCCAGTCCTCCTACTCTGCTTCTCCCTACTCTCCCTGCCCCAGGTCACCACGCCTTGGCCTTCCTGGCCTTCGTCCAGTGTCCCAACATTTTCCTGCCTCAGGGCCTCTGCACGTGCTGTTCCCTTGTCCTCCACATGCTGTTCCCTTAACTCTCTGGGAGGCCAGCTCCCGGTCATCCTTCAGGAGCTGGTTAATATCACTCTGGCAAGAGCACCCACTCTGTCCTTTGTCTGACAGAGGTCTCTTCTATTGTCTGTTCTTGTCGCACCTGGTGTCCTCTCTCCCTGGCAGCCCCACATCTTCTATGATAGACTTACTTGATCATTACTTCCCATACACAACCTGAGCTGCACAGGGTGGGCACCTAGACAAATATATACTGAAGACAGGCTGGTAGGCAGGAAGAAAGGAAGGAAGGAAGAAATGCTGGAAGAGCCTAAAGAGGGAAGAAGTGGGCAAGTGGGGTCGGGCATGACGGCTCATGCCTGTAATCCCAGCACTTTGGGAGGCCAAGGTGAGAGGATCACTTGAGGTCGGGAGTTCAAGACTAGCCTGGCCAACATGGTGAAACCCCCTCTCTAATAAAAATACATAAATTAGGTAGATGTGGTGGCAGGCACCTGTAGTCCCAGCTACTCAGGAGGCTGAGGCAGGAGAATCACTTCAACCTGGGAGGCGGAGGTTGCAGTTAGCCAAGATCACACCACCACACTCCAGACTGGGTGACAGAGCGAGACTCTGTCTCAGAAAAAAAAAAAAAAAAAAAAAAAATCACTTTAGTTAATCTTATTATATCATCTTAAAAAATATACAGCAACTGGCCAGGCACGGTGCCTGTAATCCCAGCACTTTGGGAAGCTGAAGTGGGTGGATCACTTAAGGCCAGGAGTTTGAGACCAGCCTGGGCAACAGGGTGAAACCCCATCTCTACTAAAAATACAAAAATTACCAAGGCATGGTGGCACATGCCTGTAGTCCCAGCAAGACTCAATCTCAAAAACTAAATAAATAATAGCAACTATCTCATGCTACTTCATAATTTGGCGACATCCTTCTCATTAGGCTGTAGATTCCAATTATGTTTTGTGCTATTTTAAAATATTTCATTTTATTTTTTAGAGATGGAGTCTCACTCTGTTGCCCAGACTGGAGTGCAGTGGCACAATCATAGCTCACTGCAGCCTCAACCTCCTGGGCTCATGTGATTCTCCTGTCTTGGCCTCCGGAGTAGCTGGGACTACAGACATATGCCACTGCACCTAGCTCCTATTTTGTGCTATTTTGCGATCACCTACCATGCCTGGTATTCATTCAGTTGCTCACTCATTCATTCATTCCACAAAACTGTGAGCACAGGACATGTCCTCAGGAATGAAATGATCCATGCCCATCACCCTGCCCTCACCCTATGCCCATAGGTGCTAACTGAGGGTGCATCCAATAAATGAATGAGTTAACAGCGGGGTCCTGGTACCTGTGACTCAGTTACTCCCTTCCTGGAGCCTGCTGGACTATGAATATGCCTGTGTTTACAGCATCAGTGCCCAGAGGAGATCATAAACATGGTTTTGTCCCCAGCCTCACAGCTTCTCCCAGGTATGACAGCAGGATCAATTCAGGGATTACAGGTGGTTTTTTTTTTTTGAAACTGAGTCTGACTTGTTCTGTCGCCCACGCTGGAGTACAGTGCCATGATCTTGGCCAATTGTAACCTCCACCTCCTGGGTTCAAGCAATTCTCCTGCCTCAGCCTCCTGAGTAGCTGAGATTACAGGCACGCACCAGTATGCCCAGCTAATCTTTGTATTTTTGGTAGAAACAGGGTTTCACCATGTTGGCCAGGCTGGTCTTGAACTATGATCTGCCCACCTCGGCCTCCCAAAGTGCTGGGATTACAGGCATGAGCCACTGGCCGGCCAATTCAGCACCTCTTTCCCGAAGAGTGTGCTGGAAAGGAAACACACTTGTCAATGTGCCTACACTGTGCCAGCAAGGTGCCTTGAGCAACACTCACGGCTACCCTTGGGAGTGGCTCTTCCGATGCTCATGCTACAAATAAAAAAACTGAGGCTCAGGGCCACTAAATAATGGAGCTGGGATTGAAAAGCAGGTCTTCGCTTGCTAGAGCTTCACTTTCTGGGATGCTCTGCAGACTTGTGTCGATGAATTAGCTTGCAGCTTTGGGCAAATTCTCTAACCCAAGCCTCAGTTTCCTTCCTTGCAAAAGGAGGAGTCATGTGGCCATTCTCAAATGTTTTCCGAGCCTCTACTATGCACGCAGCAGGGGACTTCAGAGCGGAGCCAGTAAAAACCAGCTTCTGCTCAGCAGAGCACTTGCTCTAAAGGGACTGGCTGAGAAAATACAAACTTAGAACCCAGTGTGGACTGGGCATGGCGGCTCACGCCTGTAATCCCAGGACTTTGGGAAACTGAGGCGGGAGGAGTTTGAGAACAGCCTGGTCAATATGGTGAAATCCGTTTCTACTAAAAATACAAAAATCAGCCAGGCGCAGTGGTGGGCACCTGTAATCCCAGCTACTTGGGAGGCTGAGGCAGGAGAGGACAATTGCTTGAACCCAGGAGGCGGAGGTTGCAGTGAGCTGAGATGACACCACTACACTCCTGCCTGGGTAACAGAACAAGACGATCTTGGGTACTATGGGGAAGAACTTAGCGTGATCCCAGGCACATACTAAGTTCAAATCAGCACCAGCCACTACTTTTTAGCCCGCAGAGTCTAACAGGTGGGGTTGGGGTTTAGACACACACTATCTGGGCACCTCCCTGTGCCAGGCATGTTGAGATGTCCTGAGATACCAAAGAACCCTGCAGGGATTCTGTGTGAACTCACGTCTGCATCGCCAGTGCCTGGAGCACTGCCTGGTGCCTTGAGGGTACCCAGGAACTGTTTGCTGAATGAATGTGCAATGGACTGGTACATTCCAGCTAGCATGGCGTGGGCAGTGAGGCTGGCTGGGGAGGTAGGCACCAGCTCAGCTTCCCAGCATCTGGGCAGAGGGGAAGGCTTTGCTGAACATTTCAGCAAGGCTTATGAATGATGAAAAGGGTTTCATAGGCAGAGCTGGAGTGGAGACGGCAAGTATTCCAGGCAGCGGGAACAGCATGTGCAAAGGCGTGGAGTCATGCCTTCTATCTAGAAAATGGAGGGATTCAAGGGCCTGAGCCTGAGCGCAAGAGCATAGCAGTGGGCGGTGCATGGACAGATGGGCTAGGAGCTTGCTATGGTGACAGGATGCTGTCGTAGGCACTAGGGAGCCATCAAAGATTCTTTTTGTTTGTTTGTTTGTTTTTGAGACACGGTCTTGCTCTATCACCCAGGCTGGAGTGCAATGGCACAATCTCAGCTCACTGCTACCTCTGCCTCCCGGGTTCAAGCGATTCTCCTGCCTCAGCCTCCTGAGTATCTGGGGTTACAGGCACCCGCCACCATGCCCGGCTAATTTTCGTATTTTTAATAGAGACGGGGTTTCACCATGTTGGCCAGCCTGGTCTCGAACTCCCGACCTCAGATGATCTACCCGCCTCAGCCTCTCAAAGTGCTGGGATTACAGGTGTGAGACACTGCACCCTGCCCCATCCAAGGTTCTTAGAGCAAGAGAGATACATGCTCAGCACCACAGTCCACTTATTCTTCTAAGGGCCACGGAAGACCCAAGGAACAGGCCACTTAGGACATATGCGAAGGAGGTGCCTTCCCCCAGCCCCCTCCCCGGAAGTGTCCCCATCTCAGCCCTCAGTTCCCCAAAAGCCAACTCACAGCATGGGTGGCACAGTTGGCTGCGTGTTCATACTCTGTGGGCTGGTACCTCTTGTGGGCAGGGACTCGGTGGTTCATGAACCTGGAAGGAGAGGGAGAATTCCAGGAAACTCCGCTGGGGAAGAGACGCCATCCGAATTCCCTGGAGGCCTGAAGACTTCACCCCCTGCTGGTAGGAAAGAACAGTACGCCCTTCTCCCTTTCCCATCTCCCCGCTCTCTCCCCTCTTCCCTATCCCTCCCTCCCTCCCTCTTTCCAATCATTAAATGGTTTTGAACTGTCCAATATTTTGGGCCTAATCCCCAAATGTGGTGTTTGTTACATTCTCTTCCTTTTTTTTTTTTTTTTTTTTTTTTTTGACACAGGTTCTCACTCTGTCACTCAGGCTGGAGTTCAGGCTGGAGTGCAGTGGCGCAATCATGGCTCACTGTTGCCTCCACCTCCTAGGCTAAAGCCATCCTCCCGCCTCAGCTTCCTGAGATGCTGGGACTACAGGCACAATCTACCAGGCATGACCTACCATGTCCTGCTAAATCTGTTTGGGATTGAGTCTCACTTTGTCACCTGGCTGGAGTGCAGTGGTACGATCTCGGCTCACCACAACCTCTGCCTCCTGGATTCAAACAATTCTCCTGCTTCAGCCTCCTGAGTAGCTGGGCCTACAGGCACACACAACCACGCCCAGCTAATTTTTGTATTTTTGATAAAGACGGGGTTTCACCACGTTGGCCAGGATGGTCTCAATCTCTTGATCTGTGATCTGCCCACTTCAGCCTCCCAGATTGCTGGGATTACAGGCGTGAGCCACCACTCCCAGCTTCATTTCCTGTTTTTTATTTTCTCTAAATATAACTTACATACACTATAGCTCTGCAAAGGGGCAGCTTGAAAGATTTTTACAGATGCGTAGACCCACAGAGTCACCATCCAGGAAGAGCTACAGCTCACTTCTCACCCCCAAGAAAGTGCCCAGTGCCCCCTCCCATGGGTCCCTTTTCCCCAGGGAAACCACTTCGGCCATTGTCATCTCAGATTCGTTTCCCCTGTTCCTGCACTTGCTCAGTGAACTCATACGGAACCCATCACCATGCCCAGCTAATTTTTGTGTTTTTAGTAGAGATGAGGTTTCGCCTTGGCACTTTAAGAAGCCAGGGCGGGTGGATCACTTTAGGTCAGGAGTTCAAGACCAACCTGGCCAACACAGCAAAACTTCATCTTACTAAAAATACAAAAGTTAGCTGGGCATGGTGGTGTACACCTGAGCATGGTTTCTTTTGCTTAACATGATTTTTGTGAGATTCATCGACTTTCTGGCATACAGCAATGGGTAATTTTCATGGCCGTATCGTATTCTGCTGGGTGAACACACCATGAGTGATTTCCCCAATCCACTGCAGGTGGACACTCCTGTTTGGGGATATCATGGATAACTCGGCCCATGAACATTTTTTGCACATTTTTTGTTGAACACATGCGATTATTTTCTGCTGGGCTCAGGTGAAATTGCTAAATGACTTTATGTTAAAAATAAATGTTCCTGGCCAGGTGTGGTGGCTCACACCTGTAATCCCAGCACTTTGGGAGGCTGAGGAAGGTGGATCACCTAAGGTCAGGAGTTTGAGACCAACCTGACCAATACAGTGAAACCCTGTCTCTATTAAAAATACAAAAATTAGCCAGGCATGGTGGTGTGTGCCTGAAATCCCAGCTACTTGGGAGGCTGAGAAAGGAGAATAGCTTGAACCCAGGAGGCGGAGGTTGCAGTGAGCCAAGATTGAGCCACTGCACTCCAGCCTGCGTGACAGAGAGAGACTCCATCTGAAAAAACAAAAAATTTAAAAAATAAAATAAACAGGCCGGGCGCGGTGGCTCACGCCTGTAATCCCAGCACTTTGGGAGGCCAAGGCAGGTGGATCACAAGGTCAAGAGATCGAGACCATCCTGGTCAACATAGTGAAACCCCGTCTCTACTAAAAATACAAAAAATCAGCTGGGCATGGTGGTACGTGCCTGTAACCCCAGCTACTCAGGAGGCTGAGGCAGGAGAATTGCCTGAACCCAGGAGGCAGAGGTTGTGGTGAGCTGAGATCGCTCCATTGCACTCCAGCCTGGGTAACAAGAGTGAAACTCTGTCTCAAAAATAAAATAAAATAAAATAAAATAAACATTCCTTGCTAGGTGCAGTGACTCACGCCTGTAACCCCAGCACTTTAAGAGGCCAAGGTGTGTGGATCACTTCAGGCCAAGAGTTCGAGACCAGCTGGCCAACATGGCAAAACCTCATCTCTACTAAAAACATAAAAATTAGCTGGGTGTGGTGGCCCACACCTGTAATCCTAGATACTTGGGATGCTGAGGCAGGAGAATCACTTGAATTCGGGAGTTGGAGGTTGCAGTGAGCCAAGATCATGCCATCGCACTCTAGCCTGGGCAACAGAGTGAGACTCCACCTCAAAAAAAAAAAGGCCGGGCATGGTGGCACGAGCGGGCGGATCACCTAAGGTCAGAAGTTTGAGACCAGCCTGGCTAACGTGGTAAAACCCTATTTCTACTAAAAATATAAAAAATTAGCTGGACATGGTGGCACATGCCTATAATCCCAGCTACTCGAGAAGCTGAGGCAGGAGAACTGCTTGACCCCAGGAAGCCGAGGTTGCAGTGAGCCAAGATCACACCATTGCACTCCAGTTTGGCAACAAGAGCAAAACTCCATCTCCAAAAAAAAATTTAAAAAACAGCCAGCAGTGGTGGCACCGGCCCGTAATCCCAGCTACTTGGGAGGCTGAGGTAGGAGAATCGCTTGAGCCTGGAGGTGGAAGTTGCAATGAGCTGAGGTCATGCCACTGCACTCTAGCCTGAGTGACAGAGTGAGACTCATTCTCAAACACACACAAAAAAAATCCTGATGTTTTGGTGTCTTTTTAGAATCTTCAAAACATCATCACCTGTGTTTAAGCCTCACGGGAGCACCATGTGAAGCTATTACCCATTTTATAGATGGAGAAGTTACAGGGCAGGGAGGTGAAGGAAACAGATCACTGGGTGGGATGGGACTCAACTCAGCCCTGGCTGATTCTAACCTCTGGTCCTGCCTTGACGTGACTCTGTGCTGGGGGACTTAGGTCAGGCTGGGCAGACAGACAAGGGTTGGCTGGGAAGGGAAGAGACATCCAAGAGCTGGGGGTAAGGTCTGCACACACCTGGCTGTCAGACCAGCAGCCGGGACCACAGCAGCGTGCATGTCTTCGGCCCACACAGGCTCAGAATCAGGTGAGTGGACAGCTCACCTGGACAGTGCCAAGCAGCAGCCACCCAAGGGGGTTCAACTCCGCTGAACACACCAAAAACTGTCCCCCCGAGGTCCAATGATTACTTTGTAGACTGCCCCCCAAACAAATGAGTGTATGGTTCAGAACAAATTGCTCCATGAAGTATGGATGAGTCACTAAGTATTTATTGGGCACTTCCTGTATGCTGATGTCATACCAGTAGTTCATGGAGCATTTATTAAGCACCTCCTGTGTGCTGGCTCCATGCTAGTAAAGACTCTGGAACATTCACTGGGCACATTTTGTGTGTGACTCCATGCTAAACACAGCTCATGGAACATTTGTTAAGCACCTCCTGCATGCTGGATCCAGGTTAAGTACAGTTATGGAGCACTCATTGAGCACCTTCTGTATGCTGCCCTCATGCTAAGTACGGCTCATGGAGTACTTGTTAAGCACCTTGTGTGCTGGCTCCATGCTAAGCATAGCTCATGAAGCATTTACTAAGCACCTTTTGTGTGCTGGCTCCATGCTAAGTACAGTTTATGGGGCATTTATTAAGCACCTTCTGTGTGCTGCCTCCATGCTAGTATGGACTCTGGGGCATTCATTGAGCACCTTCTGCATGCTGGCTCTATGGTAGCACAGTTCAGGGAGCATTTATGGAGCACATCGTGTATGCTGGCTTCATGTATGCTGGTGTGGGCAGGGCAGTAGTGAAGGCTGGGCAGGGTGGTCTGCCAGGCACGGACACTGTGGCTTGCCCTGGGATACTTGGTGCCTGGGTGACTCCAGGGGTCCAATGGTTCAGGTGACTGTGCTCTGCCTGCATCCAGCTGGGATTCCATGGTCACGTGATTCCACAGTCAGTCAAGTGACTTCAACACCAGGGTCACGCCAAGCCCATTCGACAGGTGAGAAAACTAAGACCGCCGGGGCCAGGCTTCTGAACCAAGCCAAAGAGACACCAGCGCCCCATCTCCCACGGCCTAAGCAGCAAGAGAAAATGGAGGACTCACCCTGGAGACTCCACTGAAGCCTCCCCAGGAACCCAGAACGTGCCATCCATCCACCCACCTTCCTCGAGGTGGGCCAGGAAGCTACCTGTAGCCAAGACTAGCTAATTATTATTATTATTTGAGATAGAGTCTTTTTCCCCCCTTTTTTTTGGAGACACAATCTTGCTCTGTCACCTAGGCTCCAATGCAACGCTGCTGTCTTGGCTCACTGCAACGTCTGTCTTCCAGGTTCAAGCGATTCTCCTTCGTCAGCCTCCCAAGTACCTGGGACTACAGGTGTGTGCCACCAAACCCAGCTAATTTTTGTATTTTTAGTAGAGACGGGGTTTCACCATGTTGGCCAGGCTGGTCTCGAACTCCTGATCTCATGATCTGCCTGCCTCAGCCTCCCAAAGTGCTGGGATTACAGGCATGAGCCACCATGCCTGGCCAAGACTGGCTCATTAAATAGTAAGTAATAACAACAAAAATAGTGATATGGTTCAACCATGTCCTCCCAACACTCACACATCGAAGCCCTAACTCCCGGCACTCAGAAGGAGACCTCATTTGGGAATAGGATTGGAGCAGATGTCATTGGTTAGGATGAGGCCAGATTGCAGTAGATGGGGCCCCATCCAAGGTGACTAGGGTTCCCTAAGAAGACAAGTCAGGCCGGGCATGGTGGCTCATGCTTACAATCCCAGCACTTCGGGAGGCCAAGGCGGGTGGATCACCTGAGGTCAGGAGTTCAAGACCAGCCTGACCAACAAGGTAAAACCCCATCTCTACTAAAAAAAAAATACAAAAATTAG